GGGAAAGAGCTGTGCTGTTGTGGACTTTTTTGTCTTTTGTGGCCAGAGGAAAGCGGAGACCTCCAGTGGGCGGAGGGTTCCCAGCAGCACAGGGAAGTGTGGTGCTGGAAAAAGCAAATTCATTTGAATGTATTTTTGCAGTGGGGAACCTCCAGGGAACTCCATTCTAGAAGGAAAACTGTCAGAGCTCCTCAAATGGGCAGTAATACAGGCAGGGGCAAATCATTGGCCTTTGTAAAAAACTGTCCTATTGAGAGTGATTGAGGGTAACCCAAACCCCCAGTAAGCACTTGAATGATTTCCAAATCAAATGCTTAATTCATAATATTTGGGTGACCTTACTTTTTTTTTTTTTTTAAGTTCTAAGAATGATTTGCAGGAGTGCACACTGCTTTTCTAACAATATCTAATTTGCTACTAGTAAGTCACCACTAATTAGAAGTGGCTGTTACGTTGCTGATCTGCTCAGAGAAGCATGGGACAAGCCAAACTAACCTGGCCACCATGTTAGCTACCAGGGACACTCTTTTTTCAGTACAGTCCATATTGCTCAAGGCTTTCCAGCATGTTCTACGTGGGCCTCACATCCAGATAAACACATCTAAATATAGAAGTTTGCTTGTAGGTGGGTACATGTGCACTATGTGTCTACACTTCCAGCATAGTTGACATCTAGGGTTTAGTTCAGTGGAGTACATAGAGGTGTCTTCTGTCACTTGATAATTCCCTGCTCTCCAGCAACTTCTCCTGGAGGGCACAGCCTTCCCAGGTCTAGAAGCATAGCTGCCACAGCTAGGGGATGTCTCAGATACCTTAAGACGTCTCAAATGGCACTGGGCAAACAAATCTGGGCAGCTAAATCGAGCCTTTCTTGTACCAAGCCTAGAGCACGAGCCAGCTGAGCAGATAGCAGAAGCCTTCCTGAGGATTAGCTGCACCTCTCTCAGTTGTCATAATTTCCTTGTGCTGCACAGGGACTTAAGACACATGTACACACTTAAATTTAAATGTCTTCACATGGAGCTGAATCCCATCCCATCTATTTTTCTGATCTCCACTAGAATTTGTAATATCTTTAGCTTTTCCTGGTCAATTGTCCTATTTCTGAACTTTTACCTAGAACTCCTGCATCTGGTGGTTCTCTTGAGACTTTTACTGTGCAGAGACATCCCAGGATGCTTTATACATTTCTGGCTCTTCTTCATCTCTGATTTTATGGAATTTACATATAGAAGCAAATTCAGGTTTTTTTGGTAGCCAACTATATAGTAGCTAATGATGATCCACGTGTGTAGTAGCCAAAGAGATTTTTAAATGTTAGAGCATAAGACAGGCAGAAGGTTACTCTAGCCTAGCACACTATGTCCTACTGTGACACTAGCCAACAGTGAATGGTCAGGGAAGATGACACAAGGAGGGCAGATATGCAGTGATATTTCTCCACAAGAGTCTCTCAGCTTCCAACAGCCTGCTACTTTGAGACATCCGGAGCCAAAATTGGGCTCTTGGTATGAATTAGCCCAGGGTTAATCTTCTCCCCTAAGATCATCCTGCTGGCTTGGAACCCCTGCAAACTTTTAGCATCTTATGACAAGGATTTCCACAATTTAACAGGGTGGTCCTGAAACCACAGGTTGTCTGTACCCTTACTATTGTAATAAGAGGACAAAGACATCCATATGTGAGCTCAGAGAAACCCTGGATGTTTGCAGGCAATGGTATTTGGACCTTAATTTATTTGGTGACTGAGCAGAATGAACCAGGGCTATTTTCTACTGAGCTAAGGAGAGAGTCTCCTGCTTGTAGGTACAGCCAGTCTCTTTTGGTGCTTACCTCTGGGGGCCTTTTTCACTTACTGAGTAATTCTTGACTTGTAGGAGCTACATTTGGGACCCAACACAGGAGAAGCAAAATTCATGTCAGCAAGAACTTGCTTTCAGTTCTTTGCTGGCAAACATGGGTTTAGATTGTCCTTGCACAGAAACATACAAACACCACAAAATCCTAAAACTTAAACCGGGTATTTCTTACAAAGACTATTTAAGCCTTTAAATAAGTTGAGAAAATCAATTATGACGTGATAAAGTAACACAGACCTTTTTCTGTGCTTTTCCACACTGTTCACACTGGTACATCTGCCTCAATCATTGTAAAAGACCATTATTCCTTTTCATAGCATCCTTGTGCCATCCTTGTGCTGCTTCTCCTTATCTGCCTTTAAATTCTGTTCTGGCTCTAAGGGCAGTTGGCTAATGAGTTCATGCAGAACAAATTCACTCTCACAGTTTGAATCTGTGACCTGAAGACATAAATCCTAATACTCGCTGGGCCTCAACAAACTTTCCAGGCTGCCAGCTAAAAGAATGTTTTTGAGTACCCAGAACTGTACTTCTTCCTTTCCAGGAAATGGTACCTCAGGGAAATTGTGTCCAGAATATGAATGCTTCAACCACACAGTCTTTTTACTCATAGGAAATTAATACTTGTGCATGTAAGTCCTGTTCCACTGGACTATCACCAGTGGGGCTGCTCTGTTTTTTTTCTTACTTTAGTTTTCTTTTTTTGCCTTTTCATAGGGAAATTCTTATGGGAAAAGTTATAAAGGGAATAAATTCAAATCCATCTACTGATTTGTACAGTTTGCAGCTTCAAAGCTCCTACATGAGGTTCCTTCAACACTGCTCATACCCTCAGTTTTCACCCCGTAGGCTCCTGAGGTAGTTTCTGACACCAGCCCTGACCTCACACCCCTATCTCAAACAGGAATCTCCACCATAGGTTTCTCTCTTTTGTCCCCTCTTTCAGCTCATGTACATGTATGTGTTACTTATTGGTACCTGGACATTAATGTTTTCTGTAATGTATTTCTTTCAGACATCATTGTTCTCATCGCTTCAATAGCAGTTGTTTCTGCAAAAACTCAGGGTAACATTTTTGCAACATCAGCACTGAGAAGTCTTCGTTTCCTACAGATCCTTCGTATGGTGCGCATGGACCGAAGAGGAGGCACTTGGAAATTATTAGGTTCAGTAGTTTATGCACATAGCAAGGTACTTAAACCTAGATGCTGATTTTGTCTGTTTGATGTTTTCACTTGATGCGATTCAACAAGAGGCCAGGGAAACAAACATTTCTCTGTTTTGAGCAGAATACCTACATTTTTCTGAAGTAACATCAGTTGTGACTGGCATTAGCACAGATACATCAGGCCATGTTAAATGCTAACAGTTTTTAGAATATGTTGAAATGTTGTCCTTGATATTCAGTTGTAATTTAATATATATTGGTGAAGTTGCTGAAGCGTCAAACCATTGGAGTAGACTGAGTCCACTTTCAGAGAAAATTTGCATCCATAGGAAAGCATTGGACTTTTAACTGTTCAAATGCCAAAAAAAGTATATAGAACTTTGCATTATGTCTTCCTTGAAATGCCATTTTGTTCAGTTTTACAAATGGATGTTGTTCTCTGATTTCTTTTTTCTAGGAATTAATCACAGCCTGGTACATAGGATTTTTAGTACTCATCTTTTCATCTTTCCTGGTTTATCTGGTGGAAAAAGATGCAAATAACCAATTCTCCACATATGCAGATGCTCTCTGGTGGGGCACAGTAAGTACACAAAATAATGTACAACTTTTAACCAGTCTGCTAGAGAGCTTTGAATTTCACTCATCGTGGATTTTAACTTAGTGTGCTGTTCACTGACTTGTTTTAACTGACAGAAAACTGGCCTGAGAGGCTCCCTCCTCCAGCTCTTCATTTGCACATCCATAGTTGCTTTCACCCCCTCCTGCAGAACAGCTGTTCATGTGTTTCTGCTCCAAGCCACATCACTAAACTTTCAAGAGAAGAAAGCATTTTATTTTTTAACCCAGATCCTTCCAGTAATACAGTATGTAATATGGTCCCACAGAGAACTGCTTTGATCCAAATCAGAGGGCTGTAAGCTGCAGTGCTGGAAGAGGAACAAGTGTGAGGAGAGACAGAGGGAAAGAATCCTTACATCAGCTTTGCTGTGAAATGAAGGGTATAATCAGCATCCTTAGAATAATGTTTTTTCTCCTTGCTCTGTCCCTTGACCACACAAACCAAGATTAAATATTCCCATTCTGATTCAGCAATGTTATTTTACAGGTGTAAAAGCCTGATTTTGTTGAGCTTATGCTTCACTATTAAATCAACTGGTTTTATTTTCTTGAAAACTGTGGTATCTAAGTACATGGCTGGCTGCTTTTCTGAAAGAAGGATTATATGACTGTTTGTATGTTTAAATAAACTAGGCTTTAAACAAACAATGAAAAACTAAGTCTGAAGTTTTTTAAAAAAAATTATGGCCTAATATGTGTGTGTTTTTTGCTTAAAAATGCCCTACAGTGTGTTACACTTCTGCACTGTGTGGGAGTTAGTTAGGCAGCTTAAGAAATCTGCCCCAACAAAGCTTGTGGCAGAGCTATTGCCAAGCAGTGTAAAACTGCTTTTCCTTCTGATGCAATAGAACAAACTTGAGCTCTGACAGTGTCTGAGTAGTGTAATGGTGCCTCTGAGATCATTAATGCTGATATAACCCAGAGTGCTCATTAGTTTTCCTGGAATAAGTGTGAGACCTGAACCATTCTCTGCCACCTTTCCTCATCAAAGGGGGGCAGAAGTGATGTTTTCTCACCTCAGACCTTCTGCTGACAAGACTTCATCTGGACTCAGTAGGGTCTGAAGGCACAGAGCATGCACAGATAGATTGGACAAAAGCCCTTTCCAAAATGCTTTAAATCCATGAGAAATATTTTAATAAGTTTTGCCATTTTTCATTAAAACGTCATTTCCTATTAGTAGGACTAGTTGGTGTATTTGAAATTTGTTCATCTAAGGGTGAATAATTTATTACATGTTTTCCCAAGAAACTGTATTTCTGTGTTACTAGGGCACAAAATTGGGAGTTTGGAGAAGCCAGACCTAGTAGGTCTTATTTGTGCATTTACAAATAAAAAGAAATATTTTTCCAGAAACTTGCTGCTTTAGGGCATCAAGACAGATCTTTGATAAAATAAACGGTTTTATCCTGTAATCCAAACATATACAATTCATATTGGCTGAAGTCATGAGAGAGATTTTGCCCTCAGTCTCATCACTATAATTTATTTTGTTTCCTTCTTCTTCAAAAGCTGAGGTCTAGGTTTGGCTTAAAGCTTTCTAACCTGCCTGCACTGACATGGTTGTGAACTATCTGTCTTGGGATGCGGGTGCCCTCACTGAGGAGTATCCTGGCTCTGGCAGTCTGCAAACACCATTGCCCCTTTGGGGTGGCAGTGGGGATGGAATCCTGTGAGAGAGACTCTCACTCTCTCCTGTGGTGGTGCCTGGGTCTGGAAATGCATGTGTTTAACTGTTTGACTCTCCAGGAGATGCCTTCTACCTCTCTGCAAAGCCATGTGTGACTTAGCATTGCATAGACAGGGAGACAGGAGCGCGAGGAATGGAAAAGTCCCAGCAAACTCAGACCTCAGCTGTGACATCTGACTGAGCCTCGTGTTTGATCCAGATCCTTCTTCCTGAGCAGCTCTAGCAGCAGGAACAAGTTCTTTATTTTAGAATTTGCTTCTCTGCTACCTGCTGACTGCTATTTATTAAGGAAAAACCCTGCTAAGAAATAATCATTGTATAAAGCAGTGCTTTAAATATTTTGTACATTATGAAGTGAAAGTGTATGACTCATAGGTCAGATAAGTAGTGCAACTGAGAAAATAGGAAAAGTTTCTTGACTTCAG